ACCTTTACTCATTATTCCACTTCTCATGAACCCTCCCAGTTTAGTCATAGCACTTTCTGGAAATTTTTGAGCTGCTCAAGCATCCTGATTATCATTTCTTCTTTGTGACCTAAATAAGTTGGCAGACTTTGGGGTCAGACATCTGAATGAATCAAGACAGGAAATAGTTGATAGAGCCAAGTATCTTTACTGCACGCCCTTCCCATTCGCAAAGATCTCATAAAGTTGTATATTCCTACATGCAGCAGGAATCAAGAGTAGTTGTGTGTTCACCAGCTCCAGCCTCTTTCTAGCTAGCACTGACTCCCAAGCACTCCTTCCTTCCCCGCTTTCCCACCTATCAGAGCTCCTGTGACTGCTGTTTCCCTTCCGCCACTTCTCTCACCCCCTTTCTTCCCACTTTCACCTTCAAACAAGGACATTCTGCTACCCCATCTGCATTTCACACACATTTGCTTTCCAGGCCTGTGCTTAGAGGGGAGGCTTCTAATGCTCTGCTTCTCCCATTTGGTTTCATGAGCAAGCTCTCCTGCTGAGAGCCATCCCCGTACACTCTAACGTCCACCTGGACACCCTTCGAGCATGCTCATGTTCCCTCACCACAGCTCAGCCAGCTCACAGGAGGCTAGTAGCTACCATTAGCCAATTATATTCCTGATCTGAGAGAGTGAAGCTCTGTCCTTGTGTCTTCTTCCAGAAGTAGCAGTAGCGCTGGTTAGCACCAACTTGAACATTTCCTTTTGTCACTGCAGCATTAGTCCACAGGAACCAAGGCAAGCAGTGGGACGGTCTTTTGGTGTTTGAAACTAATGACTGGAGACTTCAGTCTCCAAGCACCTATTTCAGTTGATTAAGCTGTGGCAACTCCATTACAACAGTGAGACAAAATGTTAACTCACAGATCTTGCACAAGAGTTTAACCAAAGGCATTGCATACCTTGCATTTCTGACACTCTACATCCATGGACGTCATTGAGTTCATTTCTCATATGACAAGCAACAACTTGATCAAGTTTACTTGGCTTAGCATGTGCCCAAGAACCATATTTTGCATGAACTATACTGTCAGGTCCCCAAGGAGGACAAATAGTATAGTACTCCTCCCTCTGCTCTTTAGATGGAACATCATGTCCCCAGGTCTGGCCAAGAGCGTCCCAGCAGGGTCTAACTTCCCACAGTAGACTCAGCTTCACTCAATGGGAAAATTAATAATGGAAGAATAAAAATTAAAAAGATTATTTTTAACTGCCTGCAAAAGTGAGCATCTCTTTAGCTGTCAGCTCAATTAGTTCTGTTAGGAATTAATTTGTTAATGTTGCCACAACTACAGGTTTCCAAAGCCCACAGAAGAACAAATTACATGGGGTGGGGTGGGAGAAAGGGGAAAAAGAAGGTCTGGTTTTTTTTCAGATTAATTACAGTAGGGTTCAACAATTGGAAAACATGGATTGTACAAGAACTATTGCAACATGACAACCATTAACATGTTATTCTATAGAACATTTAGATATTATGAATATTTTCCAGCTGGAATCTGTCCAGGTTTTCTTCTACCCAGTGCTCCATGTTTAGCCCAGGAACATTAATGATGAAAATCTAGACAGCGTTACATCGTGTGAACTATTAGATGTACACTGATGATACTTGATTTTATATTGCCTTTGGCTTAGTCAGTTCATAGAATTTAAATGAACTGAATTCTGGCTAGCATCTGCTGTCGAATGAGTAAACAGTAAATCAAACTTAAGACTTCATTACAGAGTTGAAAGTCTGTTTTCCTACAGACCTGGTGTACCACATGATGCAATCAAACACATTATCTGTCAAGCATCCAAAAATGAACTAAATGACTCATAAAAGTAATAAATAAGACACGGTCTCTGCCCCTGAAATACCTGACATTGTAAAATTAAAACAAGACTCCCAGAAAGACTAAATCCTGTGGAACCAAGTTAGTCCTATAATGGAAAGGGATAATGCTGGTTACACAATGTGATAAAGATACAGACACACTCCTACAAGGAGTAAGAGCTGCCCAGAGCTGCATTAGCCTAATAGTCCCTGTGCATGCTTTCTCCCCACAGAAGATGAGCTGCCTTACTCAGTAACTCTGTTCAGATGTTTTCATACTATTCCCCTGAGCAGTAGATTCTAGCTTTAACTCCAGATGAAGGTGTGTCCACTTCCCTGCTTTTAGTGTAATAACCTACAAACCCACAAGGCTGTCACGAGACACTCCTGTGTTTAACTGGGTCTTTGTTAGATAGCAATTGATAGGTATTTTCAGGAAATCAGTACTAATATTCCTTCTGACTACCATTTTGTCACATACTAATAGACACTCAGTACAGTTGAGCTCTGAAAGCTTTAACTTTAAAGCAAAAAATTCCTAGTTCTGTGCAGCAATAACCAAAGAAAAGCATAACCGCAGAGCACACTTAGCAGGCATCCTTATGATTTACAATACAGCCTGATCAAGCTATGCCTCGTGGAGAAGGGGGAAGAATCCTCCTCTACCCCACCATGCCTGGCCTGCGTGACAGGCAGCAGCTGCTACTGAGATCATGTGCAGAAGGCAGAGTATATTTCAAGAATGCATTTAAACATGCAAACAGAGCTGGGCATACACATGGCCATACACATGTGAAAAGAAACATATGAAATAGTGACAGAAGCTACCATTATACTAACTACTACCATTTGCAATTAGGTGCTAAGCCTTTTCTATTTCAAACATACCTGGATTTGTTATTAGAATAACAAATAACATAACAAACATGGACATAACAAACAACGCTTTGGCATTTTGTTAATTCAGACTTGCCAAAATTCATTACATTTAAATGTATTTGGACAACACCAGGCACAAACCTCCAAATTTCTGCTTTGGTTCTAATAGCCAAGGTAGGCATCAGCACAGAATTAATTTCTCCAGGACAGCATTCATCTATGCTACCAAGAGATGAGCCCTGTTCTGCACCCTGTCAGGCTTGTCCATCAATTCTAAGAGCTGCAACAAGCACAGCTTTCCAACTAGCATGGAGAATTTCAATGCAAATGGTTCATATTTGAAATGTTTTGAGCAATTGAAAACATCTTCTGATGGTATGTGTTGGGCAAACTTAATAATAGGCAGCTGAGCCAGGTGCACCTATAATAAAATTACTGTTCTTTTGAGATTCCACAGTCAAAGAGTTAATATAATTTGCCTACAGACAAAACTCTTCCAGAATATTGTTGTATGTATTAGGATCAACTGATCTTCGGAATACACAACTTCATATGATGTCATTTTTAAAGTAAGAAGTACCCACCAAGCTGAGATCAAATATATGCATTTTGTTATCAGCAGTGAGACTTCATAAAACTTCAGAGGCTTTCCAGACATTAATCAAATAGATTTTCCCTAGTGCATGTAGAAAGTCCCTGTATCACTAAGTACCAAATCAACACTTTCATGCAAGTAAACAAGCAGGAGAAATAACCCTGGTCAGAGGACAGAAGACACTGAAATCTTGATTAATCAAGCATTATTTAATATACACCTAGAAACAAAACTTTAACTCTGTCACAGTGGTGTGTCTCACTAGAAGTAAAATGCGAAAGGAAAGGAATGCAAGTGAAAGGTATTCAGCATTTTTTTCTTTCAGATGTAATAATCATAAGGCCAGTCTAATTTATCCCAAGTGACACGTTATTCCATTAGCAGTCCACAAAATTTCTGCAGAATCAGGCCCTGAGTATTCTCTGCTTCTAGCAGTAATCTTTACAATTCTGCTTTAAAGTACCTTTACTACATGACTAGGTTCATGGTCCAAATTGATGGGCCACATAAAATGTAACAAACACAAATACTCCCTTATGTTAGCAAGTGAACTACATTTATTGGTCCTTAACAGGACAATCCTTAAACCTTCCAAAGACCACCTGATTCATGCTCCCTCTTGGATAATTTCAGCAGAACCTAATCCTTTTACTACTTAATGCTTCAAATACAGTAAAGCTCTTTGCATTTTACCACAAGTCTGCACTCAACTTACTGTGGTTCAGAGCTGAGACCTATTTTCACTCATGACAAAGCGAACATACACTGAACTGTAGCTACTCTGATATCCTATAGACTGAGTATTAGCAAGCAACTGGGGAGAAACAGCAAGGAATTGTCACCTCGGAACGAACTGGCAGTAAGGGAGCGGGGGGAGTTCTCCCTGCCTTCCCAAATGCAGTTCCACTCTCAGTGTTCTCATCTGCCAGAACCCAGTACAGAAGGCAACGAATACTCAATACTAGCAACAAGCGTATCTTCAGCCAAGAGATAAACCCACACAAGAAAGTGTGCAAAGGATTCCAAACATCTCTAGATACATATATGTGTATAAATATGAAAAGCAGCCTTTGAGCCCCATATTTAAAAGTCTACATGATTTATTACCATCAAACGAGGTGTAAAAAAGCACAGATCTTGCCTGGCCTAAGTTGAGAGCAACACTAAGTGCCCATAGACTCTGCCTGCCTTGAGAAATCAGTTCCTGCTGTAAAATAACAGACTTTAGCACATTCTGTAGAATGACATCACCCAAAGCGGGCTGCCAAAAATGTTGCTTTTACATTTCTTCAACAAGAAGATTTCCTTTCACCACTCTTTTTCGTTTCTTATTCTTTCTTTAGTTAGTCAGTCACTCAAAACTACCAAAGTTCTAAGTAATTCCAGGCCTATAGGTTAGCAGCTTTTAACACAAGCAAGTGACTGTGCCTTTTAAAAATGTCGTGTCTATATATATCTTTTTGTCTGGTTCTTTTTAGTAGATTTACATTTGCAACTGTGCTGAGCTAAAATAATACAAGCCAATGCAATTACCACACTGAAATGGGATTTTTCCTTTTGGTTTATCACTGTACCGCTGAAGAATACTCCGTTTGATGTGAACAGTGAAACTATGGGGATCCATTTAGCAAGCTGCAGGTAACCCTCTGGAAATTACTAAACATGAGCTATAAGATCAATCAGTCAAACAAGAAAACTTTCATTGCCAAAGAAGCTGTTTAAAGCTTACTGGAGGACAATTACAAGCAACGCATCCCGCTCTTCCAAACAGAACAAACAACAAAACCCTGCTAAATTAGTTGCAGAAATTATGGTTCTTTCACTGAAATCCTCAAGATAAGCTCTTTCCTTTTCCAATTCTGATCAGGGTTTTACATCTTACCTTTGCAGAAGCTGAAACACACAGCTCTTCAGTACTCATTGCTCTCAGGTGTCGCTACTTTCTCCCATCAGCAAGTTTTCTGAAGTCAAGCTCCTCACTGCGGAAGTTGTGTCTTCGTTACTAGGTTTGAGCCTAAATAAGATAACCCAGTATTAGCTAATGCTGTAAAGGCTGGGATAACTTCCATTTGGAAAAGAATAAAAACTGCAGGTTGCTCAAGCTAGGAGTTAAGAGTCATATATGCAACCCAATGCTGTTTCTTTGATTTAAGAATGCTGTAAGTTCCTCTTGTACTTCTTAAGAAAATGAATAGAAATACTAGTGAAATTCAGATTGTTTTGGACAGCAGCTGAACCAGTCACAGATCTAAATGTGAAGTACTTGGTACGGTACAGGAAATAAAGCAACCTTAGAGAACAATCTAGTTGCATCAAAGGCAGAGACCAGGTAGTCCAATGCAATGCATACTCCTAAGAAATATTTTTATAGTGTATATGTGTGCAGTAGCATTTAAAGACAGAGCTTTGGAGGCAACAATATTCTTCAGTTATTTTTCTCAGAGCTTCCACAATAATTATTTTCATACAGATTTATTACATTAGGAAAAAGGAGGACTGTTGATGAATGCAACTCTTGCTTTGCCTATAAAGCAGCTCGTATCTAGTGTTCTCCAAGAACACATTGCAGTGCTCATGTAAGAAATATTTAAAGCCGTTAATAATTAAAATTAATGGATTTTATTAATTAAATAAAAAGTCATACACTCTAGGCAATAATAAAATAAGAACCCCAAATATGCACTGAATTAGTTTGTTATCTGCACCCACGTTTTAATGAAAGCCTCGAGAAACTTCCACAGTTACTTCAGGTTATGAGTAAATGAAGAACAAGGTTTTAAGAGTTTATTTCTACGATTTGCAGCTCTTCTTTCTGCAACTCATCCAGTTACAATTACTTCAGTGATATTTTCTGTTGCTTGTCTTCAGATGACTGATGAAAGGCTGACACCATTAAGCCAGCTTTCTATTTTCTTGTGACAAGAAAATAAAGCATGAATTCACATCATATTCAAATACACTGATCCCAGTACGCCCGTGAAATAAATGGAGTCTTACATAGGCATAAAATGAACTCTTATTTGTTCTATTAGTTCAGATATTCCAGGCAACTGAGGATCAATTTAGATTAAGGATGTTTATACAATGGAAGGTACTTTTAAAATACAGAGAGGAAAAAAAAAACCCAACATACGAGCCAATTGCACATAGAATGGGGGATTTGGTTCCGCTCTGTAGATGTTATAATATTTAGTAGCATTAGAGTTACTTTTGAAGTTAAAACAACATCCTTGCATTTACAGCGGCTTTATTTGCAGGACTATAGTCCTCTTTCTTGAAAGGGCATCACAGCAAGGTAAGATTAAAGACAAACTTTATAAAACACCATTTTGTGGTATTAACTGTAGAAAAAAAAGAGGAACTTTTCCCTTCACTACTTGTCAAGGCTGCTGTAAGAGCTTCGCTGCTAAATGCTCAGGTTACACATAATCCTCCAGCTGCGAGGCGACAATTAGCACCAAGCTCTCTAGAAAAGCTTTCAGCTCCCAACAGGTGCCCTGCCATTGTGTGCACGTTTCAATCCAGCTCTGGCAGAGTGAAGGTCCCACCTCCTGCCACCCCTCCCCTTTGAAACGACTCTTATTACAGCCCCTATCAGAGCAGCTCCATTCTCATTTCCCCCCCACAAAAGACCAAACATGACTTTCACTCTTTTGTTTAAGTGCTTTTCTCCATTGTCTTTCTTCATTTATCTGACTGGGAGATCTGAAGGCAGGAAGTGGAATTTACTTCTGGTGTATTATGAGTCCACTGCTTCTCTCCTGACTTCTGAGAACAGGAGCAAATCCTTTGAGAGCCATATAATTATATCGACAAAGAACAGAAAGTCTTTCCCTTTCTCTAGGCAGAGATGACAGTCCAGAAACACCTCAGAAGTCCGTCAATCTGCAACACTGATATCGTATCTGTATAAAGTGAGAATTATAGAGCTGAGTTTCTCTGTAATGTCATGCACTATAAGATTTCCTTCTCTATCAAAAAAGACCCCATAAATATTCTTCAGATTAAAATTCGTTCTTGTCCTTTAGAACATCTTCACAAGGCTGGAATGGCAAAGTGCTTCTTACAATTCCAACTTCAAGAGTAAGCACAAACACTGTTAGAACACTTCTCAGAATATTCTTCTTCCAATGTAGAGGCACACTATATCCAAAAGGAATATTTATTAGGAAGCATTCCCTCCTTACTTGCCATCAAGCTTCTCCGATCCAGTAACAAACACTTTTTGGCAAAACAAGCCATTTAGAACCCTGCAATGCTCAAGGGAAGCAGAGTGCCCAGTGAATTAATCGTTTGTAATGAATAAAAAGAAAATGGTTATGAGGGATATCAAAATATGTAGCAAAACATGACGGCACTTAAAAGAATAAAATATCTTGATGTTTGATCTGACCTTTTTTCCACATGGAGACAAGACTGATAACACAAAACAGATATTTGTTTGGTGCAATTCAGTCTGTAAAGTCAAGTTTCCAAAACACAATGAGAAAACAGCAAGCAGATTAATCATGCATGATTTTCAGTTTTGCTTTCTGCTCTACATCTCATTGATTCCTTTTACCATTACCTTTCTGGGCCATGCTCTTGACTTCTTCTCACAGCATTCTGCTACTTTCTGGTTTCTTTCCACCTTATGGAGGCAGAACCCTGCCATTCACACCCTGCCCCTGGCCATCAATCCCCAAGGAACTCAACTCCCAAGACTCCTGGCTGATTAACTGTAACTTTTATAAAGGCAAAAACCCCATGCTGAGAGCAAACACACATGACAGCGAACCCCAGTCATGTTCCTGGTAAAACAGCGCTCAGCATCCTACTCTAAACACAGCACAGGGTATCTGGATCATTGGATTATAAAGATCTGGAATTACCAGCACACAATCTGGAATTTCTGTGTGGCAGCAAACCCTCCCGGAACTGAGACATGCAACCTGTTTACCATAAGGGCTTTCTGAAGTATGCTCAGGAGAGTTGCAGACGGTATCTGCAACTAATACCACTTTCAAGAGGAAAGCCTGGAGTCTTTCATTCTGGAAACAGCTAGAATGATCATGGACTTTTTTTCCCCTCCACATTATTTTAAAGCTAGTAAGTTCATTGACACTGATCTCCTCCCATAACATCCTTAGGTTTCTACAAAGCAGCAAATTTATACTGAAACAAAAATCTTCACCTAAGTTTCCAGACTGCTTTCCCAGGGAGAGGTTTAGTGAGTTACTTGACGTGGCTGCAGGATGACACAAACACTGCTCTGCCTACTTACTTCATTAGACAGGTAATCAGCAGAACACACACAAAGCCAAGCAGACAGGATTTTGACTCCCAGCCACCCTGGATTTCATGCCAATTACAAAGATTAGTGGACAACCTGAAGTCATCAGTATGTGATATGTTCCATTGGACAGCATTAATCTTTTCTAGGGGTGCACACTGACTGCAGCAAGCACCCTGTACAGGGAGAAGAATTTCATTCTGCTGAATTCCTTTGTTATCAACAGCTGAGGATTCATTAGGAGCCTTATGAATGAGCCAGGATCTAACCAGCCTAGTTTTTCAGTAATTGTAATAAAAAGGTAGGTCACTGAGCAAAATTATTTATGAACTAAACAAGATTGAAAATAGCAAGGAAACACTGAAAAAGTACTGACCACGATAAGCAGAAACAAGCCCAATAAACTAGAAGCCTATTGCTGTTGACTTTTTGTGCACGTGAAAGAAGGAAGCTGGATTTATTCTGGGATGCTTCTAAGAAGCTTCTCTAAAACATAAAGGGAGCAAAAGTGAGAACATAAAGGTACTTTATCTGGAAATGCACTGAACAAGTGACACACTCATATCTCGGCACCAAAAGAGGGGTAAAATAAAAAGGAAGAAACATTAGAAATGAAGATACCACAGAAAGGAAGAAATCAGGAAGCATCTCTATAGGGAAACAAGTGGACAAAGGGGAAAAGAAAGCTTAAGGAGCAAACTGAAAGTGGTGCAAGGATTGCTGGACTTTAGTTCTGGGATTCTGCTAGTTTATAGAACTTGAGCTGTTTCCCTGAGGAGAGAGCAGAAGGAATGGATGCAGCCCAGTGTGGGATAATCCTCAAGTCAGAGAACATATGCTTTGAGTTTAATCCAAGTGCAGAGCTCTGGCAAACACGCTGAATTTATAGAGGCAAATACATCAACTTTAATTTTTTAGCAGCTGTGCCGTCCTTTAATTTCTCCTACCCTGAAGTGTACACTTGTACCCCTTTCACTTACCTCTAAAAAGCTCAGCCCAGCCTTTCTATCTGAAGCCAACTAACAGCTCTTGCCCACTGGAATTTTCTTTGAGATGTACTGTTACTTTCCACTTGTTCTGCCCATTTTTCTTCTTAATCAAACACACATTGAAGTGTCTTCCTAGGAAGGCTGAGCCATACCAGCAGGAACCAAGACTCTCTAGTTCAGCTGGCAAGCTTCTCCCTAGGAATCCCATATTATCCCAGATCCAGAAAGCCTCCTTTCTTTCATGACTCAAGCTTCTCCCCTCAGACCCACCAGGTCTCCTACCTTTGTTCTAATACCTCCGCGCCCTTCAGCATTAGCTCTACTCAGTGCATGAAAGCACCAGTAAAAGACCACCTCTAATTGCACTTTTCCTCCCAACCTCAGCTGATGGTTTTACTCACACACCTCAGGTCACCGCTCTCCAGCAAACAAAGCTGCCAGGTCTCTTTACAGAGTTTAGCAGGGGGCAATATCTACACCTTTCCCTCAAACCAAATCAGGCCTCTGCACCAATTAAGCTTATTGACACCAGATTTTATACATTCCTTAGCAATGACAGCACAGGCTTTCTTAAATCCAACAAACCTTTTAATGTGGGAGCACAGCACAAGGTCCTGAAAGGTGAAGTGGTGACAGCAGTCAGCTCTGGCACAGCAGCCCGGCCCCCTTGAAGCTGAAGGGGAGGAAAGGATGTTGCAACAATGCTGTAAAACAGGAGGAAAAAAAGTTAATTTTCCACCTGTTGTTGTTTTCTTCCCTTGGCAGCTGAAGGACAGGAGGAGGTGTCACCATGGAGGTGAGGGGTGCAGGAGTGGGAACCCGCATTTAAAGGCCACTGGAGGAATAAGAGGGGCATTTGCAGGGGCAAATGGGGCAGGAAATACAGAGGAGAGTGAACACAGCTCCCCTGCTTCCCCCTTGCTCCCGGGCACCTCTGGCTGCTCACCCCCAGTCCTGCCTGTCTCTGCAGGGGGTAGGGAGGAATGTCCCATGGGAGACAGGAAGGGAAAATTCCTCCCCACCACCAAACCCAAATGAGCTGTGGGACAAGGCTGCCTGCTTCCTGTGTCTCAGGTTTTCATTTCACAGATGCCATTACTAATACCTTGCTGTGCAAAGCTCTTCTGTAAGCATGAACTGTCTGGTGGTAGTTGTGATTATGGAGGCATTTCCCAAGGCCAGCCTCTTGTACAAATGCATTTATCCTCTAGAGCACACAGGAACAAGCTGCTGTACATACAGTGCAGGCACCTGTAAATCGTACCTACAGAAAGGTATTACCTGAAGGCCTGGGGTTTTGTTGTTTTCTCTGGTTTTACAACTGCTGAACCTACACAAACCCCACTGACATGAGTGGGTGCAGAAGCTCAGCACCCCTGAAGACCAGAGTGCATGCAAAACTGAGCCAGCTCCTCTTCAGTTTAAAAGCAGGTGTCCCCTGGCAGTGTCCCACAGACTCCTCCCTGCAAGTGATGCCTCTGGAGCACAGACCAACCTTGCATCTGAGGCATATCTTATGAGGACACCACGTTTCTGCCCACCTCCAGCACAGGGAGGAAATTCATCTGGCCGAGAGCATCGGAAATGGGCTTTGTGCAGCACGTCAAACAGGCTCCCAGCATTGCTTCACTGAGACATAAATCTCAATCTTGTTTGTTCAGAAATGACTACAGCCTGGTGCTGCCAAGAAAACCCGGCTCCCTGAAACACACAGGCTCTAATTATTTATTCAGATATTTTCTGGCTCCTCTCAAGCTTTGTATTTTGTTTTCATTTGTCAGACGGAGCACTGGTAGGCTCTATACTGAGCTAGACTGTGACCCCTGATTCACTCTTCCACCAATTCTCTCCGTATCTCTTAATTGTCTTGAAATAGCCAGCCTTGTGCGTGGTAATTAATGTCACTGGGAACTCAGACACTTGGAGATCCTAAAATGATTAGAGTTCTGAATGAAGCAGTGTCTGCAAATGTAAGGGGATGTAGTGGTCTGAGCACTGAACTTCAAACTGGCTGACTCCAAAACCTGGGTCTACAGTGCCATTCCATCTCTGTCCTTTGTGGTAGGAGAATCTATCCCTTTATTTATCTTCTCCCAAGTTAGGGGAATAAATCTGGAATGTGACATAAGTGCTCACACTGTAATTAGCAGGAAAACCTTTTCCCTGTTCATCTCAACATGTTCAACAGCAGATGCCCATCACTTGAAAAAAAGACCAATCAAAAGTTAAAAGCATATATTCTGGGCAGAATATTTTTAAAACAGAAAGCATTCAAGATGGAATTGTCTTGACAGTGTCTGCTGGAGACAGACTCAGGCCAGCTCATTTGGGTTTCAAAATGTAAATGCAAAGCTTGTAGGACTTGCTTTTGTATTTTTGTTCTAAAATAAGCAAATAAAGCCCTGTTATAAACAAAGAGATAACAAAGAGTTTTCGTAGTGTTGGTAAATTAAGACATCATTTGTAATGCCCAAGAGAGAGAAACTTGGGATTTTCTGCTTTTGGATCCAAAGTGTCATGGAGCATTAAGAAGAATCCTGCAAAGCTGCCTGACCTAAGGCTCTGTGGAATTCCCTGTCCCACAGCACAACGGGGCTACAGCCCTGTTTCTGCCTGGTAGCAGTATCTGGAAAACAGATCCCATAGGATTTTGGCCTACAGAGGGTAGAAATGTGGCTGTTATTTTACTCAGCTAATCTCCAGGTACTGTAGAGTGAAACTTGAATTCATGCAGAAGAGGAGAAAGGCAGAGCTAACTGCAAAGCAAATCAGGATGAACATCTTCTGTAAAGTACACAGGCAGATCACATAAAGAGAAGTACAAACCTGAAGCTCTCACATGACTTCCAAGGCAAACTCCAACAAGTGTCCAGGGTAAACAGAAAATAGCCCATCATATTCCCATCGCTCAGTCTTGTCAGTTTAACATCATCAGGAGTTATTTTCTCTGTGTTGTGAGACTGTAAATGCAGGCTGTAAGACAATAAATATTCCACAACAGGAACAATCAATATTCCATAATATCCTATTCCAAGAGAAAGATATTTCAAAATTCAAGCTTATTTCAATCTTACTTTAGAAATAAAATGCAAAGAGAATCTGGATATTTTATAAATGCACATCTTGGAGCCAGTCTAAAACCTCCGATTTTCTTGTTCTTCAGACTTTCCGTTTCAAACAAGCAACTAAACAGCACTTGCATATGCCACAAGAGTCAGCCTCTCTTTCAAAGCTAAACAAGAACAGAGCTGGACCTCATCCACCGATTTCCAAGAGCTCAGATCCCTAAATCCCAGTATCACATCTTGTAGAGTTACTGATATAATATAAACCCAAAATTTTCCATCCATAAAGACATCAACACCCAGCTCTGCCAAGACATCGACCTTCTCCGTCAAGGAGTGTTAAATGATGCATGAGCAGAGTTTCATACTCAGATACATACATGAAATGCAATTATAAAATAAGGTCATCCTAGGAGAATGATAGCGAACCTGACCGGAACGTACAGGCTGATTCATTGAGAAGTTATCAACTGAGTTTTAATCTTTTCATACTTATGGAAAGAGCTGCCTGCAGAGCTAGCCAGGAGGTTTTGTCACTGTAAGAACCTGCGTTGCTATTTTGTGTTGCTACTGAACAGCAGGTGAGCAAGTCTGCAGGGCCCAGACTCTGAAGACAACTGGTCTCTCAGCTACCCCTCTGATTACATGGTTGTGAGTTTTGACAACTGAAACCCAGCAATTACCATGCCAACTACAGGTGAAGGAAAAAAAGAGATGTGCGTGATTTGGGCAAGCAATTAGTCACATGAAGAATATTTTTAACTTTGTCACTTGAGCACCTGTGTCAAGTGTAGAGAACAGCAGAGACAGTAATTCAAATGTTCCAAGTTCAAACAGTTCTAAGGGTTCATCTTTACAGTGGTAATATCATCCACTGTGTGGATAGTGTGGTATCATATACAGTGCGGCTAGTGTGTGTGCCATTCCTGATACACCTCAGATAGAAAGTTACCTAAGGGCCAGGTCTCAAGGAAACAGAAGGGTGTCAGAACTGACCATTTGCCAGTTCTTCAGGGTTCAAGCCCTGGGTGAAACGGGAACAGAAATATGTTACAATATAAACTTTCTGGTGGTGATGCTAAAATCACAGCAGTGAGCGCAGAACGGTTTCTGGTGGACAAGCCCCTGCTGTACATAACTCCACTGCTGGCTCTGAACGTCCTTTTCGCTGACAGCCTTGGCAGAGAAGGTGAGGACTCACTGATAAGAAGGGACTCTTATCTCCAGAGGTTGTCCTCAGGTCAGAGTTGAGGAATGTTGGCCGGGCAGCACAGCGAGCATGCGCTGCCGCTGCCTGAGTCTGTTTATCTGTTTCTCCCCTGAGCACCTCATGCCCCATGACATAATTAAGACCAAGAGTACAGCAATATACAGAAAACCCAAATATTTCATCAATGACAACAACGTCAAGAACTGCATTACTAAGAAATAAAGCATTTTTGAACCTCAGGAGAAGAATCAGACTGGAAATAAACCCTCAAACATAAAATTTTAATTACCAGATATTAGGAAATAACATTTCCTTTGGGGAGTTTTTCTGAAACTAGGAACTGTAATATTTCTTGTGCCTTTTTCCCACTGTTGGAGGCAGGGTGCCAGCCTCGATGTACAAAGGCTTTGCCTTTGTCATTCCCAAAACTCACACGCACCTCTAAGAAGCTTATACCTGGAGATGATTCCGAAGCCTCTAAGTGTTAAAGTTATTTGAGCAGCAGAAAGGAAATGCAGTTGTTAAGCAACTGCAAACCCCTTTTAATCCAGAAAGACAGAACAAGCAAACCCAAGTTCGGCTGAGCCATCCAGGGTGACTGTCCAAGGGCCACAAAAATGGCAGGAGTTGATGGGGCCAGAAGCACAACCCGCACAGGGGAGACTCCCCCACAACAGAGACTATGCTTATGGCCTAATGGGATCACAGGGGGAACCATCAGGACATTACTTGGAGATTGCCATGTTATTACCAGCAATGGTGAGTGAGGGATAAACGGCAGAGACCTCAGGCCCTAGGGAAAAAACTACTCTGGTAGCTAGAAAACTATTTTCTGGCTTTTCACATTTGATGTGAGGTCACTGAGACAAAACATACATAACTAGCAATGTGTATGTCTTTTAAGTCATCTGTAGAAAATCTAAACTGAAATCTTCATGATTTTTAAGTACTTGGCATTATCACTTCTCTCTTTTTCTCCTTCACTGAGCAGAAACTAACATACCAGTGTGTCAATTAAGGTCAGGCTTATCTGAACAGTCTCTGAACTACTAATTCTTCTCTCTCCCCAATGTGAAATCCAAACCTGTTGAAACTGGCCTCTCTTTTCACAAAACAGGATGTGAAAAGAGGGCTGATAGCCCTGAAAGTAATGAGAAAACACACAAAATACTTTGCTTTTGTAATGGTGCTAACAGTCTAAATGTCATGAGAGATTTTTATTATATCAAATAGTCATGGAATTTTATAATATAAATCGGAGACATAAAAATTCACAAATGTATACTTGTATCAAATGTACTTGTGTACAACTTAGACATGTACATACATATACAAATACAGTGTGTCTCTGTGTGTATTGGGAACTAGTTATATCCACCTGCATATATGTGAGCAGAGTGGTTTCTTTGCTACATACCTTTTGTGCACAGAAACAACCAACTGCCAGGTCCTTCGAGGAAACTACTTCAAAAGAAGAGTATTTAACAAAAATATTCTGATCATAGAGGCTTCAACCTATTTCAGGGTCCAACTATGCAAATAACTATTAGATATGTAACAGGCCTTTGATCAGTGCATTTACAACATATACAGTGATGGTCACAGACATACACAACTCTCTCAAGTCATTTCATGCATACAGCTAATACTCAGAACAAAGAGGTCAGGTCTCAGGGTGCTGCCTGCTCTCATATGTCCCAACCTTGATACATTTAGCAAATTTTCTGTTTGGTTCTAGGATATTCCTATTAATCCTATTGGAAATAAATACAAATAGCCAACATGACCTTTCAAAGAAGGTGACTGATATTTTTAGCTATTTAAACATGCGCTGTTCTGCACTTCAGATGACCCATCAGTTCACTTTTACCTACCATTATGGCAGTTTGTGAGCAAATTGGGTCAATACTTGCAATAGTTTTTACTTGTGGATTTTGTGACAGTCTGTGTGTCTCAAAGGGAATGCCTGTTACCTTATTCAAAATCAGACATCAGAGACAAGCAAAGACACAATTGTTTTGGACACAGAATATGAAGCAATGATTAATCTTTTCCCTGTGCATTCCTCTCAGATGCTTACTTCTCCTCGCACTTTATTCAGTTCTCAAAAACCATCTGGCTTACAGTTCTTTTTTCTTTTTGGTGTACGTTGCCCGATTTTTGTTAGTCATGAAGAAAAGCTGAAACCAATGATGATGTGACTGTACCTGGTGCCTGATATTGCATCATGCTAGACATCATTATCTTGTAAAACAATCAAATACTTCTTTTGAATGAAGGGATTTTTACCAGAGTAGGACTGAATATTCTTCCCATGTACTATTTTCTATACCACTACACAGAGAGCCATGAAATGAAGGAAAATGATGCTTAATAAACAGACATGTGTTCTCTAGAAAATGTAGATGTCTGTCTTTCACTTGTACCTTCACGTATCAAAACCATGTAAGGAATGCCCTCATTCTGTACATAGGATACACAGTCCTCAGCCTTTATAAGCTGTACGTTGATGTAATCAAGGTGTCTTGTATAATGACAGGCACAAGCATGGTTCAAGGTAGGGAGGAATAAATGGGTAATATTATGTCAAAAAAAAACCAGCCCTCACAAAAAAGACTGACTTGAGCTCTTAAGCACACTGAGCCATTCGGCCAAAGAGGAGAAGCGCTGCCTTTCAGGAAAAGCAACACTTTGCTTTGATGTACGGACTTGTCCCACATTGAAATTTTATTCATTAAACAGACGTTGAGTTAAATCATTACAAACCAGTTCCCTACCTGGGCATCCTTCTACCAAATTTAAAATGGTTTTCTTTCTCTCAGGTGAAATCCCCTCCAAAGCAACGTGCCCAGATGTGGGGTTTTAGTTGAATAATTTACCATACAATTACTCTGATTTACATTCACAGTTTAGCAAAGCCAGGTGAGATCCAGGATCACTCTGCTGCCATTGGACTATGATGTTGGGCAGGCACTTGCAAAGGACATTTCATCTAACCAGGGCACTGTATCTTGACTGTTTCAGCCACCTCTCTCATGGTGTGATGGATCATCTCCCTCTTTCCTTTTTGGCTACACAGGGAACTTGGACAAAGAGAAACCTAATTTTTGTCTGAAACTCAGGCTAAGTGATCTGGCTGCTGGGACTGGGAAAAGCAGTCCTTCCCTGAAAAAAAAGGTTAAAAAGCATCACCAGGAATTACATTCAAAGTGCCAGGAGCCTTCTGTTTCCAAATAAAAGCTCTTGGCCCTTTCTTTGTTGAGACCTCCAATATGTTTGTATGTTTCTGTTGCTCATTTTCATTAAATTCTCAGTCAGGGCTTCTGCTTCTAGAGCTACGCAGAAATTGAGACACCCTTTTTGTTCTCTTGTTCTGCTTCCCAACAAACAATCAACTAAATAATTAAATTATGCCCGAGCCCACACATTTTTGTAAGCCAAGTAGTTTGATAACAAATTGTCAGCGGTACGTATGCTGCTTCTATAGCACTATTTTTATCTACTCTCTTGAAATGAAATGTCTCTTTGGTTCTAAATCATTAATAAAACTCTTAGCACCGTTAAACACCTTCACTAAAGGCAACTTTCAAAGGCCTGTGCAGTGACAGTATAATGTTTCACTGAAATCTGGGACTGTGGAGCCATGACAGGCACTGTTACATAGTAAGTTTGACCCTAAATGGCAATCCTGGAGAGATAAAAATAATTCCTTCCTCTATCTTTCTTCACCTTTCCCCCCCTGCTTTTCTTGTTTTTCAGGTTTCTAATGACCTGCTTCATCCACAAAAAAGAGACTATTCCACTTGTTCACCAATGTTACCAGATTTCTACTATACCACTATTAGAAGAAAGAGGATGATTTCAGGACTTTTCAAATGCTGTGTAAAATGAGAAAGTAGCCCAAAATCTGTGACACTAATTCCTAAATAAAGAATAAATGAATAAAATTAAGATACATGTAGAAAAAAGTACTATTGTAAAAATCACAGATTTACAGCAACAGTTTGTGATCAAAGGTTTCTAAGCTGCTATTGCATAAAAGCTCTGCTCTGTTGTTAAAGAACATTACAGCTCCTCTATTGTTCTCAAGCACAGCCCAGGTCAAAGAAGTAGCATAACAAATCAATT